TTCAATATAATCTGTAATAAATGACTACAAATTATAGGAGTCTTAAATATAAATGAAAATAATAACAAATAAAAAACTGCAAGATCAATAAAATTTAAGTCAATTTCGGAACAAATTAAATATATTTTATCATTAACTAGCAGTTATAACCAGCTGGTCGATAAGAAAAAGTGTTCAATTAGAATAGAGAAAAATCATCATCATGTTTAGATGTAACAGAGCCTATATTCTCCAATTATTTTAAAGTCCTTTCATTAAAAACATATTAAATAAATGCAGTTACTGCTATAACAGAAGTAGTCTGTATTTATTCAATCGAAGACGAGGACATGAAGGGGTAAAACAGGCAACATGAAAAGCCACTTCATACAACAATTATTTTGGAGTTTTTGAAATTCAATTTGTCAGTGTGCTACCAGGGATGTAAAAGAAGACACTTTTATAAAGCAATTGTTATGTCTGATGAAAATTGGTTGAAAGATCAACGAAAATTAAGAAAGAAACCAGTAAAAATCACCATTTTTCGCTATTTACGCAGGTTTTCACTATATGGGTGGACACAATTATCAAGTTAAATGACTGCTAAACAATCACCTTATTGTTGGCTACAATTAAGTGAAGTTTGTATTAGATTGCTTGAAAATTGATAGAGATTTTAGTTTAGAATTTGTGTTGAAAACGATTTGTGTTGAAATCGATTTTTCGTTTTTCGCGGGTTTTCGCTAAACGCAGTAGCGTAGAAATAAAAATCAGGTATCGTTGAGCTCGCCATGATGTAAGTAACCTAGATATTGATTCTGAACGAAATCGGAGGAAAAACGTTAGATTATCGATTTTGATTTAGATTTATAGATTATTGATTTTTTACGCTAAGAACCTATCTCTTACATTGCACACTGCATGTGCCAAGTTTGGTCAAAATCGATTGAATGGATCTAGATTGAAAAGGTATCACACACACAGACACACAGACATCCTCTGTTTTATATAGATAGATAAGAATAATGGTAAAATACAACATGATACAATGAAGCAAAGTGTGTAGAGAAGTTACCTGTAAAAAAAACTGATACCCATCGCGTGTGAAGACACCACTCACAAAACCCTCCAAAAAACCACTATATACACATATGGACACATTCTGTGAACATACACATAATTCTTTGACTATACATAATGAAAGCCGAAAATAACCTGAAGACATAAGACTATGTTAAAATTCTGCACGGAAACTAAAAACAAAAATGACCAAATTTTAGTAAAGTAAAATATGAAAAATAAATAAAAAATAAATAAATCAATAAAATAAAATAAAGAATTTTCGTTAGCCTTCAATCAAACTTGCAAAAATATGAAAAAAATTCTACCTCAATACGCTCAAATTATGCTCATGCTTTTATATGTAATTTTAACACACATAGCTTAGTGTATAATGGGATAGCCACTACGAATCGAACTCAACTTGCAATATGATCCTGATAATCATTGCACTAGAGGAGGAGCCCTATTTGCGTGCTAATATATGTGCGCAAAGCGCAACTCGGAAAGAAAGCACGGATGTACAAAAACAAAAGCATTTTTAATATATGCGCATGCATATTTCCAATGCTGAAACTAGAAACAAAAGTTCACTGAAACTGCGCAAAAATGAAAAGAACAAAAAAAAAAAAACAACAACAAAAAAAAACAAAACAAAACAAAAAACAACAACAAAAAAACAAAGATAAGAGAGACAAAATCTGAGAAAGAAAATGATAAGAAGCTAAAATGAAAGACAAACAAGGCGGGATGAAGGAAATTAGAAAAGTTCACAAAATAGAGACTGTATTTCTTTCGCCCGAAGACGTAGAGATATTCGTTAATACACAGGTGCGCTACCCGGAATTAAAACAGCACCACTGAAAAGAATCTTAGTTGGTTGAAATTTGATTTTTCAATGAAGCGTCGTCAAACTGTCAGCGAGTAGCTTTGGATATAATTATTAGGTGTGTCTATAAGTTTACAGTCAAAAGTGGTTTTCAACTGTGCATTCAATCTCCATTTTTCAAAATAAACACAAACTTCTATAACACTCATCCTCTGTTCCCTCTACCCGCCATCCTCAGTAATACTATTGCATTATTTTATATATAATACTAGATGCTGAGGAGGTAGGGTTGGGATTTATTGAATGAATATCATATTGATAATTTCAACGGATGATTGACCATCTTTACGTCAACACGAAATTTCAAGTTTTCATGTTTGGATAATAGTAATATATAAGAACTATTTTTGCCTTTTATATATATATATATATATATATATATATATATGTGTGTGTGTGTGTGTGTGTGTGTGTGTGTGTGTGTGTGTGGTGTGTGTGTGTGTGCAAATATATAGAACAATAGGAAAGAACACGTTAGGTAAATAATCCAAAGTTCTTTAGCATTTTTGTTTTTATTTTTAAAAAACAGTGCTCAATACATAAGTAGAGCCTACATTATAATTATTTAAAAAAAAATACGATTCCTTCGCCTTGTTTTTGAAACATGAGAACTTTTATGTAGCGAAGGAATCATATTTTTAAAAAATAATTATATATATATATATATATATATATATATATATTTCATACAATTGGAATTAAGACACTATTAGTAAATGATCATTTTCACCAGTGAATTTTAAATATAATATTCACTGGATTCTTCAATGGTTGTAGGTTATTGAAATAGAAATTGTTAGAAAGAGAAAGACAGAAAGAGAGGGACAGAAAAGAAAATTTTAAATTCACTGGTGAAAATAATAATTAACTAATGGTGTCTTAATAGTCTCTTAATTCTAATTGTATGAAATATTTTGCTCTGTTTAGAAAATAAACATTGATGTTTAAAATTTCAAATTCTGTTAATAGGATTCACTTGGGTTATACCAACGGATTATTGAATTGGAAATTTTTAGCTTCTGTTTTTGAAACATGGTAATTTCTGCGTGGCGATGAAATCATATTCTTTAAAAAATAATTATAATATATATATATATATATATATATATATATATATATATATATATATATACTGAGGGAAAATAATGAAATGTCGAAATTTGACAGATGTTTAATAGTCGGGGTCTTTGCTCGAGATATTTTTCTTCGAAAGATGTTTACTTCATATTTACTGAAAATCTTCAGTGAGTAAATCTGTGGGCTATATATAACGACTAGCAGCATGGCCCGGCGTTGCCCGTGCTTGATTAAAAAATCGTATGACTCATACAGCAATCGCTATTACTTGACTTAAAATATTTTTGCCCTTCCTTGCCTTTAAAGAAGTGCCCTTTTCCGTGCTGATGTTGCTACATGCCTTACTTCTTGCCTATCTGACACTGCGAATTTTTTCTAAGCTCTATACTAAACATTAAATCTGTTACGAAAAAAGAACTAAACAAAATGAACACAAAACGATCAGCTTTAAAAAAGGACTCGTAACTGGAAAAACCGAATGAAAAAAGAATAACAAAATACTTTTTCACACCCAACCCAGTTCTGCGGAATCAGAATCAACGTTGAGTTTAAGCAAGCGAATGAGCCAATTGGAGTAAAGTGCCATGCAGATTTAAATTTTTCCCACTTGTGACGAATGCAGCTATCGATTTTTTTGCATGCTAGCATACTAGTTAACATACGTGTCAGTCAGTTGTTGGCACTCACGCTGGCCAATAGAATCTTCCTGCCTATTCCTGGCAGCCAGTAGAAAATAGCCGCAAACTACATGAAAACTGTTATAGAAGCATGAAAAAATCGATCATTTCCACTATTGCTGGGAGTTGGGAAATGCAATGTCGGTCTTGGCCTTCCCGCTAACTTGTGCATGTAAATTTTGGTGCAAATCCGTCGAAAATTGAAGCCGTGCATTTGTTACACACACACACACACACACACACACACACACACACACACACACACACACACACATCCTGCCTTTTATAGATAGAGATTTGTCCATATGCTTTTATTCATAGAAATATGCTCTTGCGATACAGTTTAGCGATGTGGCGCATTGTTGAAATTCTATATTAGTTTAAAGAATATTTTCAAGATCCATGTTTCCCTTGAGATTTAAATATGTATACTTATGTCTACGCTTGTCTGAATAAATACGAATTTAACAAAAATGTACGCCTGAATATTTTCAAGAATTGTTTTACTGAATTGTGTAAATCTCTCACATGATTTCCAAAACAAACCCAAATTGATATTATCACGAAAAAGAATTCAAAGAACGCTTGCAGAGAGTTTATGTCAGAGAAAAATACCTGTTGCCAATTGTCTGCTAGTCAAACAATATTAGAAACCGTTACAGAAGATAAAACAAAAAAAAATTAAATAGTTTTATATAAGAACGATATGGAGTAAGATTTCATGGATTACCGTGTACAGCGAAAAAATGCAAATTCAAAAAGGGAAAGAATATTAGAATCAGTAAAATAGGAAGAAAGTGTATGCGAAAATAAAATAAAAAATGAGAATATAAAAAAGAAGATAAGAAAACCGATGAAAAAAGATAGAGAGAAAAGAATAGTAACATGGAAAAGGTAGAAACGAAGTGGATGTGGATGAAAAAAAAAAGAAAGTAGAAAAGGAAAAGCAGTGAAAGAGAACTTAAAAAATAAGTGGAAATTGTTGAATAATGAGAGAAGAGAAGGAGGCACGAGATGAAGTAAAAACGGAAGCGGAAATTAAGATGGATATATGGAAGCAAAATAGATACTTAACATCAGAAAGAGACAGTTGAAATTTCTAGAGCACATAAGATGGATTGGAAAATTTGACTCGTAGGACATATTGAAAGGACAAGAAAACGCATGATCGACCTGACGTAAGAGAATGGCAGAACAAAAAGAGAAAATTTATTAAGAGCTACAAAGAACAGAAAATAGTGGAGAGCCATAGTCACCAACGTCCTGAAGGGACACGGCACACAGAAGTGGAAGCAGAAGAGGAGGACGAAGTGTAATAATTATGTAACAGAATGAAAGAAAGATGGAATATAAAATGGAATCGGGGATGAGAAAATTGAAGAAAGTAAAAGTGGTAAAATGCTTAAAAATAAAGAAAATATGATAGAAAGATAAATGAAATGCAGAAGAAACACGAAGAAAAACGGGAAAAGAAAGAAGAAAAGATAAAAATAACAGAAAAGAAGAAGAAAGATAAAAACATTATACGAAAGAAATAAGGAAATAAACACGTGAACAATGACGACATCAATTATAACAGGTACCTCCCAGGATTAATTCCCATATAATCATAAGACATTAGTGGCAATGGTGTCTTCCTTGCAATAATGTCTTATCATTTTGTGGGAAATATTTCTGGGAGGTACATGTGGGAGGTATTTCTGCCGCACCCTGTACATGTAAAAGGTGGGATTCAACATTTTAGAAACCGTTTTTCTCTTTGCCTACATAATTATCGTGATAGGGCACTTCATTGTGGTGTAATGGTTAGCAACCTTGTCTCGCTAAAATAATTACGACTGAATAGTGAGTTCGATCCTCATTGGACACCCCCACTTTCGAACTCCTACACATCTAAGCTATGCTTAGAAAATCACCGCATATTTTCGGTGATTTTAAGAAACTGAAATGCATTTTCTTAATTTATTAATCCGAAAAATTTTATCATTTCAAACATTATTTTTTTATACTTATATATCTGAGTAGACGTTCCTTTTATTTATTAAAATGTATATTTATTTATTTTCGTCTATCGGCCTAAAAATTCTAGAAATCTTATTAAAGAAAAATATGTGCTTTCCGTCAGGATTTGAACCTGTGTCCACCAGGGAAAAGGGTAGCGTTGTTAGAGCCGACGTGCTTTAACCGACTCGGCGAAGAGGCGGCTTTACGAGTGAACAATTCTGAATAGTGCCTTTAAACAAAATCCCTCTCGTCATAGACTCGAAATTTTCATATCTGATCAGTTTAATAAACAACGCGATTTCTAAAAATAACATTTAAAGTGATAAAATAAATGTTCTGCATATGAAATTAATAATTTTAATTATCATCATTCTTAAATTATTTCCATATTTTGTTATACAAAATAATCTTAATAATATGAGTTAAAATTTAAAAGCTTTTTCAAACTTTTATTTTTGTTAGTAAAGCTGATTAATCTAATTTCAGAAAATAGTTGATTTAGATTGAAAAAATAATTTGATTTCAAATAATAATCTTCATTTGGTTGATTTGTTTTTTACGGTTTATCAATCCTTTGCAGGTTATTTAAAGCCAGAAAATATTTTTAGATTATAACATTTTTTTAGATAATAATGGTTTAGTGATACAAATCTTACTAATTAACCTAGGCCTGAGGAAGAGAAGAGGTGTTTTCACACCTTTTACAAGGGTATTTGCACGTAAGTAAATATAATGAACCCAACGTGAATTGGAACTCGGCTCTTCGATTAAAAATTTCAAGTCATTATCCATTACATAACCTGGTATTCCCAATTGGTCACTCATCTAGGATCCATGCTGATGGCAACAGAAAATGTCTTCTGTGCTGATTAATGAAAGCAGTTTTGTCCGGTTTGTCGGACTTGTAACTATGACAAGATTAAATGGTTGTGTCATCTCCATAAATGCCTAATGATGACATCGGGGAGATCATTAATAAAGATCAGAAACAGTATAGCTCCATGGATAAACCAATGGGGAAACCCCACTTGTGTATGAATTGATCTGGAAGTATGTCTATTCAGCATGATCTTCATTACACGATTTGTCAGGAATGATTGGATTAAGTCAAGTATTCGTCCCGCTAGAAGCGCGAGACAAGAAGCTTTTTTTTTCAGGAAAAAAGGTTTCTCAAGTCCTATAACTTTATTGCTCTTTCCATTATTGGTGGGGGCTTCCTTCCTAACCTTCTGTTTGAAGTGGTGTGGAACGTTTTCATCCTGATAATGTCACTGTTCGAGTTACATGTGCTATCCATTTTAGTTATTGCTGCTGTTGGTAGTCTTTAAGTGACGTGGTTCTTGTTATTTGGTACGGGAGCACAGAGAAACCTTTGTTTGTTTCAACTGAGCAGAAACGCTATGAAAGGATCAAGACTGCTGAGGGGCCGTAAGAATGTTAAATCCTGACGAACGCCTTTGCAATAGAGTCACAGCCCGAACTTCGCCTTTCTTATCTAAAGCTTGATAGACAAATTCAGTGATGGTTAATACGTCGGCGGTCGACCTGGCGAAACTGAAACTATATTGTTTGTACGAAAGGAGGTCGTGCGATGTAAGATGCTTCACCAATTCGGAATTAATTAGATCCTCTTTTACTTTGCCGAAAAGAAGTAAGAGACAAATAAGGCGATAATTTGGGGCGCGGGTCAGAGGCTTCCCTAGAGCTCTTTATAACAGGAACTACAAAGGAGAACGTTCAACAAGCTGTTGCTGTAAAGTTTGGCGAGAACAGGAGCCAGCACATGTCTTTAGAACAACGGCAGGCATCCCGTCAGATTCGCTTACTCTGTGGGGATCTACTGTAGAAATTGTATCAGAAACCAATGGCGGGGTTATGTGTGTATCAATCGTAGCCTCCGTCCTAGGGGAAAAATATGTCAGAGGAACTCCAGATAATTTGATAGTAGATTTGGATGAAAACCTCAGCGTAAACACTCTACCTTATCTGCAGTAGATGTCAGTACTTGAAATTAATTAAAAAAGAGGGGGGCTGAGTATTTAATATTGTTCAGCACGCTCTTGCAGAGCCAACTGTAATCTCTAGAACCAAACTTATGAGAGTCTATACGGTGTCTCATTCTATCAGCCATATAGTGAGGACACGCTTGCATTCATTACGGGCAATGACGAAGAGACGTCTGTGTAACACTATTTGGGTCGCTGGTAATTAATAATAATAAAGACTTGGAATATCAACGAAAATGGGATATTGATTAATAAACTACCATGGAAAGGGTTAAATAAATATCAGGAACGATAGACTGATAACAATTGGTTCCCAGGCAATTGAGGTTTATAAAATGAACCAGAAGACCGGCAATGTTTAGTTTGTAGGACGGGCCAAGTGTTGACATTATTCGACAAACAACGCCTGTGAAATCGACATGAGGGGAATTCGGTTAAATGCCAGTTTCAAATAAAATCTTTTTGCAGAGATGTCAGGATTGAAAAGAATAAGCTGAACACCTGCAGATATGTTGACCTTCGGTCAAACGAATTGTCACCATAATGTGAGTTGCAAAATTTTCCCTGGGAAAGTGTCTCTTGGGTCAAAGGAGAGAAAGCCAATTGTGTCAATTCACTTATGAGGTGAGAGCATTTGGAAGAATATTTTTTTAATTAGTCTTCGACCGAATGGTGGAGGTGACAGTCGCAGAAGATAGATCAAAAAAGGAGGAGGATCTACCTGCACCCACTGAAGGGGAGCCAGGCACATACAAGATATTAAGGAGGTTGAAGGAGCTACCCACGCCCACTGCAGAGCACTGGTGGAAGGTGGTAACAGGAGAAAGTAGAACTAACCAGGCGGAGCGATGTCTGCACCCATCTCCCATGAGAGAAGGACAATTCCCCAAAATTATGAAGTAATTTAATTTCTCAGGACCAAAAGCAATGGAAATGGCAGGTGGATGAGATACCAATTTAACACCTCCCCCAACTACATATCACCCCTACACCAGTTTTGTTTTGGCAGACAACAATGGACTTTTGTTGGAAATCAGGGGATTCACTGAAACCCAAACTAAATCTTGCCCCGCGCCGGTTTCTAGTTGGAGTCCATAAATACGAATGCGCGAAGCGAAGTCGGGCATGAGAGCTAAGAAGAGACAGAAGAGAAGTGGCGGAGGTCGCTGAGAGGTTCCACAGTCCTGCCGATTACAAGAACCTTCGACTTCAGCCTTTACATTGAATAATGTAAATAATCTACATAATACCTCATATCAGAAATATAGACAGATACAAATTGAATAGTGCTTAACATTTTTGTAAAATGTATAAATTTAGTTTCATCTGGTACGATTTTGATATTCTAAAACTAACTTTTTAAAACAATAATGGTTACCGTGGGCGTATACGGTAATAGCGGTGTTAAGTGAAAAATGTCCTCTTGGCACATCGATTTTTACCTGGTCCTATGCTAAACTTTGCCGTTTGGCATACTGATTTGGATAGAATAGTCCGTTTGAATCATTTAATCTTAAAGTATTTTAACATCACCCTTGCATACAATTAGGGTCAATCAAAGGACAAATTCCAATCACGTCTGTCATGACTAATGACGAGATGTTAACACCCAATGCGAAGATTTTGTCATTGAAGGGCTAAGAAAAAAAAAAAAAGAGAAAAAGTAACGAACGAATTCTAAAGAACGTGTAGGGCCAACATACATCTGAGAAAGGGTAAAGAATGTTACCTGCTGTTAAAAATATAGAAAAGAAACAGATAAAATAAATAACCATAAAAATTCAAATAATATATGGAATAAAGAAGGGTAAACGAAGACGTTTCTAGTATAAACAAAAATCTGAAAAAAAGAAAATTGATAAAATGGAAATATTGCTATCGAAAAGGGAGAACGAAAGAAAGAAAATAATAATATGAAACGAAAGGAAAATATTTTGTAATAGAAATATAAATGAAAATAATAAGAAACAACGTAAAAAAAGTTCCCTTCCATCAATAAAAATAGACTAAGAACTTCATATATATATATATATATATATATATATATATATATATATATATATATATATATGGGTGTGGATATTGTTGAATTCAAAGCGATCAAGAAAACGTGGGCTGGCAGTTGTGTAAGTGAAAGGTATTTATTCACTTGCACAGTTCATTTGATGGTGATTCATTGGTGAATGGGCGAGAAGAAATGGGCCTAATGCAAAAGACTTGGGGCAGGGATTCGCAAATATCTGCAAACGTAGTAAATCTAAAAATAAAGTTGCTAAGAAAGGAGAAAGGGAAAGGTCATGAGAAAAAGAAACAGCGAAGAAAAATAAAAAGAAAGAAAAAACAGAGAAAGGAGATTGGAGAAAGAAAGAAAGAAAGAAAGAAAGAAAGAAAGAAAGAAAGAAAGGGAAAGAATTATTGCCTGGTAAATAAATATGAATATCGATTTATTAACATGGCAGAGAATGAGAAAGGGAGAAATCGATTGCTCAATGGATAGGAACAAGCAGAAAATGAATAAATAACAGAAATTTTATTTTCGAATTTTATGATGAATATAGGAGGGGCATTGAAAAGTTCTCGGTAAACCGGTCTATTTCCTAAAATCGGTATTTAAAAGATCAAGCATCAGAATACTGACTCAGGGAAGTGGGTCACGCCGACGAGTTTTCAGTAAACCAACAACACACACACACACACACACACACACACACACACACACACACACACACACACACACACACACCGCGCACGCACACATATATGTCTTCCTCACCCCCCATTCACTCTTAAAGTCAAACCTAACATTAAGCTTCTGTAAGCATGCATCGCACAAATGTCATTCTATGATAATCATGTAATACATATATATATATATATATATATATATATATATATATATATATATATATATATATATATATATATATATATATATATAATGGTTGGCCGTTCGTAGCCGAGGATGCCTCTCTAGTAGGGCGGTTAGGCAATCCCTGTTGCAGACACCTGCTCAGGTACATCTGTGTTTGCTGTGTTTTTTACTGCAACTATCCTTAGCAGACTTAGTTTTGGAAGTGAGGGATCGTATTATCTGGAGCAAATAAGAGTCTGAAAGAGTATTAAAGGGTGAAAAAATTTGGAGACTTAAGACCACATTATGTTGAAACACCGGTACCCGACGTTAAGCAACATCTAGCCTAGTCAGTACCTAGATGGGTGACTGCTTGGGAATACCAGATAAGCTGGGATGTGCGGTTGGTGTAATGGAAATGACGCAGAATGGCTAATCGAAGAGGCGAGTTCCAATTCCAGTTGGGTTCGATATATTCACTTAGGCGCAAAATATTAATTCACGTTTTTTCCTAGCTATGTGTCAATTAGTGAGACTTGTATCTAAACCATTATTATCTACAGAAAAATTCTCAGATTTTTAAAATGAAAGGAAAAATATTTTTTTTTTGGCTTTAAATAACATGCAAAGGGTTGATAAACGGTAGAAAATAAATGAATGAATCAACCAATAAAGTTTATCGATCCAGCAGATAGAAAAAAAAAAAACCTCCACTGTTTACATTTTGAGAATTAAGTCGGGCTGATAATAGTATAATTAGGCGATAATCCTTTATATTAAATAGAATAGACAATAAATATTCTGTTAATCCTTTTTGGTAAGTTTCTCCAAGTGTCGAATAAGTCATTTGAAGTCAGGTGGGGATATATAAAGAAACTTGCCAAAATGATGTGTTATGTCCCAAGTTATTTTTTAATTAATCATTTCACCCAAAGAAAGGCAATTATGTTACAATGAATTTCTGAAAGTGAAAGAAGCTAAGAAAATGTTTAGACGAGAGACAACATTAAAAGACCCGGATTCAGGGCGACAGAAAATGACGGTTGACGTTCCATTTGAATTTTTGACGATCGGAGTTGACAGGGAAGCAAGAAATCGGAAGGGGACTACACAAGTGAGAAGTGAGAGAGAAGAAATCAGTAGCATAGATTGCACTTACACTGATGAGACTTAGCTGCCAGTCTAATACTACGAGTAAATTCATGAAGTCGAGGTAGGAAAGAGGAAAGCTAATCAAAACAATGACAATAAACGAATTTATAAAAAAATCATAGAGTAGAAATATTAAGACGATGGGAAAGCCGAGACGCCAGGTCAGTACCGATTACATTGCAGATTCTTCTCTGGATTCTGTCAAGAATATCTAGATACTTAGCAAAAGCCTTAAACCGTATGGTAGCAATATTCGACGCAGGGACAGATTTGTAAAGATGCGTGATATATTCTGATGGGAAAAAATATAGTGAACCAACATTCCTAGCAGCAGACGTAGCAATTGATTCAATATAATCGTTTCATTTCATGTTAGTGGAAAATATTAGACAGTGAAGGCGCATGCACCCATTAATGTCTAATCTATGGATTACAAATCTTCAGTGTTTTTACATTTTTTATGTTAATAGAATGCATCTGGTTACAGTAAATTAAGTTGATAACATTTATGTTGTCTAAATCGGGTTTATTTTTTATGTTATTATGACTCTCTAAAAATAATTTTATCTGTTCATCAACGATTTGATTAGGAAAGTCATAATTATGAAGTGTTTCTTTAATATTAGATAATTCTTTATAGGAAATTGTTTTAGAGAAAGAGATTGGTTTAGTACGGTTGATAAGGTTATGTGTTTCGGACTGCTGTCTTTTATCGGCAAGCGTATACGCTTTGGGAGTTAAGGAGACTGGAGCCATTACTGGTAAGTTTTGCTTTGTATTCTGATGTAATAAAGATTTGATCATTAAATAAGGGTTCCAGATTTTTTTTGGTGGGATCTGAGCTCATGTATGAAACTAAGTACGAAATTTCTTTCAAAGGATTTGTTTAGATTTTTATCTAATCAAATATGTCATCGATATACCAGGCATATATAGCTATGTCTGATGAGTCTTTTGTTTTCAAAGTATAATAATTTAGGCGTTATTCCATAGAAGAAGGTATAATTTAAAGGAGTGTTGGGAATTAAGTTTTCAGAGTCAATAAAGCTAGAATTTGATTTGGTTTGGTAGAATGAAGTATCTTAATTAGTTTAACAGCGAAGTTTATACTATATATTTTTTAATAAATAGCCTGCTTTTAATTGATTCAATGTTTTGATAGCTGTTCCCACGATAGAAAAGGAACGCGGGTTGTTGTTGTTGTTGTTATTATTATTATTATTATTTTTGTGTTGTGTTGTTCTTTTAATAAACTTTGTCTTTCTGTTATTTCTCCTAAGCTCACCAAGTATATTAAGCATTGTTTTCCTCTATCCCACTTGACCTCTTTCTGACCCGTGAATATCAGATTTGTCAAGCCCTCCTTTTTCATTATATGCACCAGAGACTTCAACTGTCTTTTCCTGATGCTAAGTATTATTTTCCTTTTATTTTTTGTTGGGCGTTTCGAGGCCGTGCAATAGTTAGCAAACTTGGTCTCGTTAAAACACTTACAACAGGAAAGTGAGTTTGATCTTCACTGGGTGCCCTATACTTTTGGCCTTGTGCCACATCTAAGCTACGCTTAGAAAATCAGTATTTTCCTTTTTGTTTCCATTTTCTCCAAAACTTCGCCGTTGCACACATGTTCGGTTCACTGTATCCCCAGCATCCTTCTGTAGAACAACATTTCTGCTGATTCATGTCTTCTCTTCACCTTTGAGATCATCCAGTACTCACTGCCGTACAGAAGGATATATTTAGCATAACACTTTAGTACTCTTTTCTTTGTTTCTAACGAAATTTTCCTATTTCCTAGTATTCTGTTTAGCTTTTGAAATACTTCCTTGGCCATCCCGATACGCCTTCGAATTTTAGAGTCGATCTTTCCGTCTTCTGTTAAAACACTTCCCATATATTTAAATTTCCGCACTTGTTTGATTTTGTTATCTCCGATTTGCAATTCGCACTTTGGGCTCATCCTCTTGCTAAGAGCCAGACATTCTGTCTTCTTGCAGTTGATGTTTAATCCTTTCTTCTCGCTTACTGTCAATACCATCTGAGGGGATTTTGTAGCTTTCTTTCTGTATCTGCTATCAACGCTGTCATCTGCATACCTTATGTTGTTAAGATTGTGGTCGCCAATAATGAATCCTGATAGGACTTCTAGTTCTCTCAGAATCGCCTCGCTGTATAAGTTGAATAATTCCGGTGAGTAAACACCTCCTTGTCTCACACCCCTTTCTATTTTTATAAATATGCTGAACTCATTTTCTATCCGTATGCTGGCAGTTTGCTGCCGGTACATGTTCTTGATTATTCTGCTATCTTTCCCACATATTTTAAGATTGCCAAACGGAACCCTTCTTTATTCAGAACTTTTGAAAAGCCTCAAGCCAGAAGACGAAAATATAGTGTAAAAAAACAGAACAAAACAAAAAGCAGAACAAGAAATCAAAAACAAAACGACTACTGAAGCACATATATCCACTAAATTAATTTAATTACATCTGCCTAGTAAGTTCGATCCATGCCATAACTAAGCTACGCTTAGTAAATTACTATAAAAATAAGAAAGTTCTGCGTTGTCAAACTTCTTATTTAAAATGAAGAAAAGGTTAGCTTTTTCAATTCTCTTGATTTTGATAATGGGGCTGTTTCTAAGTTGTTCAGTGTGATAGCATACCAACGTACGACAATGGGTATGTCTCCATTAACATAAATAGAGTAGTAAATTGGTCTGCACATGGAGATTCGTCTCCAGTTGTGCTGGTTAAGCTCTCTGCCTCCGGGCAGAGAGGATCCCCAGATTTTCTATGGGGAATTTTTGACCGAGCCTACGGGCTCGGATACGCCACATTAAATTCGGCCTTGTGCCATTTCTGACCGAGTGAGGCGGTTGGTAGATTCCTACAGTTGGAGATACGCCTGCAGCAGTGCTGGTCAAACTCTCTGTCTCCGGGCAGAGACGATCACCAGACAAGGCTATGTCGAACGGCAGAGTCTCGCCTCGGAAAACAGCTACCCGGAGAATTTTGTCCGAGCCTGCGGACTCGGATCCCCCACAATAAACTCGACCTTGTTCCGCATCTGACCGCGTGGGGCGGTTCGTAGATACCCTGCAGTTGGAGATTCGCCTCAGGCTGTGTTGGTCAAACTCTCTGTCTCCGAGCAGAGATGATTCTCAGGCAACGGAAAACAGCTACTCGACCCCGTTTTATACGAGTTCTACAGTATCGGATACCCAACATTAAATTCGGCCTTGTGCCACATCTGATCGCGTGGGGCGGTTGGTAGATATCCTGCAGTTGGAGATTCATTGTGGAATTCACTTGACTCACTTCTAATAGTTGTCTACTTCCTCTACGCGCCAATTGAGGACACATGGCACAGTCGATAGAGGCGTTAGATCTAGTGACAGGACCCAAAGAGTGTAAGTTCAATATCTGGTTAAGGCGGTGGAGAACTTGGAGAGGGGAATTAACAGGAGATATCTGATAACTGACATTCATTAAACATGGCACATGGAACTAGAAGAGTCTACCCCAGCGAGCGAAATAAAAGGGTTCAGTTCGACATTCCAACAACCTGAAAGAGGCCGGAGCGTACAACAGCCGAAATGTTGTGATAAATATGGCAACAAAGATGATGATGACAGTCCGAACAATGTAAATAATAAACTGGCCTCATTCAAAGAGATACCATAGTGAGTTTTGTACTGGATATTACATCAGAACAGCAACAGTCCTAGGGGCCTTAGAGAGTTGACCTAAAAGGTATCCTGATAATCACGAAGTGCAGAATCGGGTGTCTAACGAAGTCAGTGGCTCTACCGACATGTAAACAGGTAGTCAACCCTGCTGAACATAGGATACACACACACACAGGAACTCAAAACAACCAGATGTCAGGAGTTATATAAATGCCCAACCCACGAAGTAGAAAGCAGAGTCCTTCATCCCCGCAAGAAGGAGATTGAACGTTCGTAGAATGTTCCCGAAAATCTGCACGACTCTCACATTCCACGGCCAACGTTAATTTGCGTCTAGAAATAAACAATTATTTTACGCATGGAACTTTTGTCCTTGTATTGTTACCAGCCGTTACAAGCATAATATTACGGAAATCTTTTTGATCTTTATAGATATCATCGTCAGATAGGCGAATAAAAATGTCTGAAAAATAGGTACTAGATTAATACTAAAATATAGATTATGTAGCTTCATTGTATGACTGATTTATATATGTGTGCCTCTTGTTTTGTTATCAGAGTG